TATTATATCTTTTTTTTTTTTTTTTCTTATCTATTAATCTATTCTATTATTTTATTTTTTTTTCCTCAAATCTTTTTTTTAATTATAGGATACCGTAATCTTGGTCTCTATTTCCTAGACCAAAAAAAGATAGAGAATTAAAAAAAAAAAGTCGAGCCTCCTTACAATTGGTCTCTTGAAAAAGAAAGCAATACTATCACCAATCTCATCTTTCATCTTTTAGTTGTATTATTTTATCCATCATCTCAATAATGGCTGATTATCTACTAGCCGAACGTCCTAGTAAACGTACTTATTTCGGTTCTACATCTACCAATATGTTTGACGCTGACGATGATGATGAACAGTACTTCGCTTTCAGTAAAGCTGCCGCTGACTCGGGCTTTCCTATCGCCGGCGTGACTGACGCCTCTTCAATCTTGCCCAATAAGGATGACGAGTCCACTAGTTCTGTGAACTCTATCGATGTCGCGTCCAATTCCTCGGACTGTTCGACAATTCTCGATGATGCTAAAATAAATACTACTATTAATAAGGGCACTGGTGCAAATATAGACGTCCCCAACGTAGGCTGTAAGGCTGAGCCAAGCAGCATGGAGACTGCTGAGAGCGGTAGCAAAATTGGCAAGTCCAACTCTTCCAAATCTCCATCAGCTACGTCGTCATCCTCTCAACCTACTACCAATACTACTACTAGTACTACTACTTCCTCCCAATCTTCTACTACAAATACTGCTACTACTTCCCAAACCCCACCACCAACAAATAACAAAAAGCGAACTCGTGCTACTCCTGAACAGCTCGCTATCTTGGAGGATACTTTTAAGACGAATACCTCTCCAAACAGTAAAGTTCGTGAAGCTTTGGCTGAAAAAGTCAATATGTCGGAACGTTCTATTCAGATTTGGTTCCAAAATCGTCGTGCAAAGATGAAGGCTATGCAAAAACGTGCTCATTTAATGATTAATCAAGATTCCCTTGGTCATCATTTTATGCCATGTATACCTGGTTATGGTCATGGTTTATACCCTTTCCGTATGCCTATTCATCATGCTCAACGTATAGCTCTTCCTCGTTCTTATAGTACTAGTGATCTCACCCCTACTATTAATAATATTGCTTTGGCTGGAATGAGACCTCAACCAAATTCCGGTCTTGGTATCACCGTTCCTCAAGTTTCTCAAGGTTTTTGGCAGTCTGGTCCTTTAACTGCTCCAATAACTTCTTTGGGTACTGGTGATCCTAATCATATGTCTGGTTTTCCTTTCTCTGTTAATTCTCTTGTTGCTGCTCAACAACAACAACAACAACAACAACAAGCTCAAAGATTTCCTACTCCTAATGCTAGTCCAAATTCTAATGTTATTAATGCTGCTCAAACCTTGCTTGTTGTTAATCCTGCAAATGGAATGCCAGTTAAAATTAATGGTAATGTCTTTTTTTTATAATTATATATATATATAAAATATATATTTAATTTAATTATTTAAATTATTTATTAATTTATTTCGTTATAATTTTTTATTATTATAATTTTCTATATATAATATACACATATATACACATAATACACTTTATATATATACACATATATACACATAATACACTTTATATACATATATACATTATCTATATATATATAGATCCCACGTCCGTATCGACTCCTCAACCTCAACAACAGTTCACACCACCTCAAGAATTCGTTTCTCCGGCTTATAACAATAACACAATGGTCTCTGTAATTTCATGTGAAACACTTACCATAGGAACTTGGCGTCGTATCTTAACTATGCAAGCTCCTACTGATCTTTTATGTTATTATGCGATCCCGCAAAATACTTTTACTTATCATATTACAAATGATAATACTCAATTCAAAATGGAATTTCCTCTTACTGATATTACGGCAATTGAATATCGTCTTATTGATGATGTTTATGCTCAAATTGCTGTTGAAGTTAAAGATCCACCTCATTTCTATATGGAAGCTTCTCATGGTGGTTGGAATATGTGTAAAGATTTTACCGAAGATAGACAAGCTACTCGTCACATGAGGCATGTGATGAAAGGTCGTGCTATTGTAATGAAACCTCAACTTATTAAACTTATGCAAGATGATCCTCTCTTAGCAAAAGTTGTAACCTTTGTTGATGATTCAACTGATGCTTATATTAAAGATAATTCTGATGATCAACAACAAAATCCTCCTCGTCGTTCCTCTTATCCAAGTGGTTCGATCGCTGATAATGTTCATTTTGGAAGTGAAAATAATTCCCTTTCCGATAAGGAGGATTATAAAACTAGCACTAATTTACTTAAACAAATGGCTCGTAATCGTCGTTCAATTTCTCTTCCTTTGTCTCCTTCGGAAGATCATAAGAACTGTTTTGTGAACAATACAATTCCTCAAAATTCTTTACATGTTAATACTGCCCTTATGGATTTGTATAAAGCCGAAGTTAATAATAGTTCTCCCGAATTCTGTTCTTCACCTATGGAACTTAACTCTTCTCCGACTACTCCTCTCGATGTATTTGATAATTCTCCTACCCTAATGGATTCATCTCCTCTTTTGAATCAAGATCCTTTTGTATCATTACCTTCTCATAATCCCGGCAGCTTATCAATGGACACTTCTATACATTCTAATGAAATAGCTGCTGCTATGGTCAGTTTTGCTCCTTCAATGACTGGTCATGGTTTACCAAACATGTCCAACGATGAATTTGCAAATATATTTAACACTATGAGCAGTGGTTCTGATACTGCTTCTGATGTTAGTGAATTCTTGACCTTTAACGATTATACTAATGATATGATGGATGGTACTGATGGTTTTACCTCCTCAAATGGTATAATAAACATCGATACCTCCTCTTGGGTTGGAGATGTTGCTTATTGTTAATTTATTAATTTAATTTCCTTTATATTACTCAAATACACAAACACATATTCATAAACACTTCATAACACACAATTTCTCATAAACATTCAATACGTCGAAACCACAAGCTTTTTATAGTTTTTTATACATGTGAACTGATATGCTTTTTTTTTCTTTTTTTCTATGAGGTTGAAACACACAAATAAAGTTTTTTTTTTTAAGAAACTTAAGCGATATGGAGCGATATGGACATAATATAAAACCTAATTTACCGATCTTGGGGGATTATTTAATTCTTAATTATTTAAAAATTCAAATTCTGGGGGGTTGAGGTATTTTGAACAATTTGTATATTTTTTATGAATAACATTTTAGTTTGTTTTTTGTGTTCTATTGGTGGTGGAGTTGGCCCGCCGGTTGGCGCCATTATTATAAATATTTTAATTTAGAATTTTAAATTGATAGATTTTTTTTTTTTGTCAGAAAAAAAAAAAAAAATTTGGTACATTTTCCCTCTTCCCCTTTAGTCCCCCCCTCCCAAACACTTATGTATATTATGATTTCACTTTTTACGTTTTTTTTTAATTTTATTTTTTTTAATATTCAACTTTTTACATTCCTTCACAAGAATTTTACGAGCACTAGATTGTTCGATCAAATAATTTTCAACTAGCTTGAAAGAAAGAAAAAAAAGTTTATTTACATTTGTAATAGCATTATTCAACAAAAAAAAAAAACAAAAAAAAAAAAAAAAAATACATATACTTTTAAACTGTAAACATTAAATATTGAAATTGAATCTTGTTCTTCCAATTATTGATTGTTGAACCTAATAATAATTGCGTACCTATATCCTCTCATTTTTTTTCAAATGTCGAATATTTAACATTTTTTTTCTTAATTTTTTTTTTTTTTTTGAAAAAAAGTTAATACCGAAATCTTAATTTTTTTTTTTTAAATATACTTTGTATTCTGTAATAAATTAATAAATAAAAATAAAAAAAATATACCCAACTATTAGTTTTAAGCATCAAAAAAAAAGCCCAAGGTTAATGTTATCATCAGATTTACGTATTTATTGATTCATTAATAAATAATTATGTCTTTTGTGTTTTAAAGATTGTATAATTATTTATTATATTTATATGTTTACATACAATCTATCATATCATATATCATGTAATAAAAGATTTTTTTTATCACAATCAGAATACTTTCATTATTATTAAATTTTCTTAATAAAATAATATACACAGTATATATATAATATATATAATATATATAATATATAATATATAATATTAAATATCTATCTCACTAAACATCTATCTCACTAAACTATATTAACTATATTAATATCCAAATTATTTTTTTTTTCAACAAATTCTAATAAATTTGATACGTTTAATTTCAACGTCGGTTTCTTCCAAATTTGGGTGGCCTAGCACCAGCAGGACTTCCAGTTGGAAATCGGTAAAACGCATCTTGAATCTCATTCAAAAAGCTATCACAAATATAAAGCAAATATAAAGCAAATATAAAGTATGTATTAAAACATAAACATATTAATTTAATCATTAAATTTTAGGTTTATAACAAACCTGTCACTATTATGAACCGTAGTTCCACCTAATACAATTCTAACTCCAGGAGTTGTTGCGTTTATATGAGCGACGTGACGTGCCTCCTCATACGTGGTTCCTCCGATCATAAATATAATAATATCTTGTGGTCTACATAATCATGATCAAAATTAATAAAACGTTATACTTAAATTTTCAAGAAAATATAAAATTGTTAATTTATATTACCTATCTTTTGTTGTACCACCAATAAATGGATAGCTGGTTTCTTTCAATTTTCCTTTTATTAACTGTTCGAGAGTCTGTGCCAAATGAGGTGAATGTTGTGTATATACATTCTCTACACCCTAATCAACAGAATTAAATAATTAGAACCTCGCTACAAAACTCTTAAGGCATAACGGAGGTATTATAATTAATTATAATTAGTACCTTTAGCCCTTTGAATGCACTTTTTCCTTTAGAAAATATGCTCTCGTTTGAAAATAAATCATCTTGTCTTTGATCTGTGCCAGCATATTCAAGCATTGATCCGATCAACTAAAAAAAAGCTTATTAATGCTCAAATTTGTAATAACCTAAAAAA